GCATCCCTGTAGCCAGCAGGGAAGCTACTGGAGGGTAGAGCCACTGGTGTCTCGCTCCCCCCGCACCTGCCTTCAGGCCAGGAGCAGCCCCAGGAATCTTGCCCCCAGGACAGCCTACAGGCCCTGGAGGGGGGCTGCTGGAAGGGATGGCAGCCTCTGGAGTCCCCTACATCTGCCCATCGTCTGTCCTAAGCCACCCACTGCTTTTCCTCACACCCGAACTCTCGCTCCAGCCTTCATTTTCAAAAATCTCGCTCCCCCCGCACCTGCCTTCAGGCCAGGAGCAGCCCCAGGAATCTTGCCCCCAGGACAGCCTACAGGCCCTGGAGGGGGGCTGCTGGAAGGGATGGCAGCCTCTGGAGTCCCCTACATCTGCCCATCGTCTGTCCTAAGCCACCCACTGCTTTTCCTCACACCCGAACTCTCGCTCCAGCCTTCATTTTCAAAAAATACAATCAAACGTACATTTTTCATTTGTTTTTCCCCCCAAAATGTACTTCATTTAAAGACCCGAGCTACACCGGGTACATCTGCCAGTAGATACGTATTTTAGAGTGTGCCTGCCTGTCTGCGTGTCTGTGAGTCGATTTGTTCAGGAACTCCTCCTAAAGGATAAGAGCGAGGACCACCACATGTGGTAGGCTGGGGTTCTGCTATCTTGCCTGCCAGCATATTGGGTGCTAGCCCCCTTCACCAAACTCTTCTCCCCTCCCCCGACCTTTGGCTGCAGCACCAGAAGGGGAGGAGAAAAATGCCCCAGCAGCCTGGGGGTGGGGGATTCGGAAGGAGAGAAAATGCCCAACGGTCAGGGTGAACTTGGGGTTGGGGAAAGAAAATACCCCTGGCAGCTGATTGCTGGGAGGAGAGAAAAGGCCCATGCTAGGTAGGACCCCTCCCCGCCCTAAGCCCCCTCTAAACCCTCACTCTCACACTACCCCATCCCCGGCCTCCTGCACTCCTCCCCACATCCCCAAGTTTCTGCCCTTACTCCTGCCCACCCCACCCCATCAGCCCTGCCTTGATGGACCTGGGCAACACCGTGTGTGTGTGTGTGTGTGTGTGTGTGTGTGCGCGCGCGCACCTGCGTGCTGCAGAGGTACTGGAAGACTTACCTGGAGGTGCCTGAGTCCTTCAGGGCAGGGGGCTGGTGGTGTGGGGTGCACAGGAGTCAGGGGGAGGGCCTTGGGGTTGTGGGGGGTGGGGCAGGAAACTGAGAGATGTGGGGTGAGAGAGTGAATTCTCGGGAAATTTCTCTCCCCCAGGTCCCCCCAACCGCCAGGGGCCTTCTGTTCCGCTCCCCCATCACCCTCTGGCCACCAGGGGCCTTATGTCTCCCCTGTCTGGCGCTGTGGCTAAGGTTCGGGGGGAGAAAAGGGTTTGGTCCGGGGGGGATATTTACCAGGCAAGCTAGCAGAGTCCCGACCCAGCTGGCTACTCTTTGGTGATCTGGCTGCCCCCTATGGTCTTTCTGCAGAAGAGCTCTCCCTTGCGGGCTCACTGCCCCCAGTGCCCGCTCTCAGTATCACGTCCCTCCAAACAGCCCCTCCCTGTGCATGGTATGGAAAACAGGGCCTTTCCTGGGGCTTCTGGTTGTCGTGGCACCACCACCCCGGGCCTTGCTTTACCTTAGGAGAGGAGGAAGCCGCCTACCAAATGTGGTGGTCTGAGCTCTTGCTGTTTAGGAGGAGGTCTTGAACAAACAGGCTCATAGATAGACACATAGACAGACGGACTCACAGACAGACAGATGCTGAAATCCCTCAAATAGGTATAGAGAAAGATACACTAGCAGACTTACCCAATGTTGCTCGAGGCCATTGGACGGGGTAGAGGAGAACCGCACAACCCACCTTCCGGCTTCTCTCTGGGGTCAGTCTGGGGCCGGCGAGGGGGGGGGCACACTGCAGCTGGCAGCTACTCCCCAGGGGAGACCAGGGTGGTGGGGACTATGCTGCTGGTTAGTAACTACTCAATGGGGCACTTGCTGCCCCCTGTGGCCACGGGCAAGTACATCCCACTGTCCTAACACAGCCAAAGCCTGACTTTGCTTTAAATTGTGATACGAGGAGGCTGCCTACCAAATGTGGTGGTCCTAGCTTGTACTGTTTTGGAGTTCTTGAACAAACAGATTCACAGACAGACAGAAGCACATATCTGAACTATATAGTGAGATATTATGTGGTACAGCAGGGCCAAGGAGCAGCGGCAGAGAGCTAAAGGGGATACATTTAAGCCCTCGGTGAATTAAGGCATAGATCCCTATGGACTAGACAAGGCACGAAAGGCTAATTGCATTTGTAGCCAGTTAAGGCCTGTCAGGAATCTGGTGTGCTAATTAAGCCATGGTTCCCTGTAGCCTAGGGAAGGTTACTACGGGGGGGAGGTGGGGCGGGTTTAACCGGGAATGTTTATTTTATTATTAAAAAAAAGTGAGCGAGAGAGAGAGAAGACACGAGAGCGTTAATTGCTCAGGAACCAGGTCAAATCAGAGCCTTCTATAAATGGCCATCACCCGTGGGGCGCTCCAGCAACGCTACTCCCCGTCCTGGCCCCTTCCTGAGGAGATGGGGCTCAGCGCTTTTAAATACAAGTTTTGGGAAAATCAGATACAAAAAACACCGAGGGAGGGGGGACAGTGAGGGGGCAGGACAGAGACTGAAGGGCTGGCGGGTGACTCCGGGTGATTCCTTTTTAACCCTGCACTCAGTGGGTTTTTGGGGTGTTTTTTTTTGAACATGACGAAATCTCCTTGCTTCCCTTCCCTACCAGTTTCTTAGTGGAGTCATGAACATGGGCCAGGGGTGATGTCCTAGCCCCCACTAAGAAAAGTATGGGACCCTCTCATAGCAACAGTGGCCATTTTGCCACAATATATTAAACTTCAAGTGGACTAATGAGTGTGCTGCATTTTCAATCCTGGCTTTTTAGGTTTCTTTCGTGCTTAATGGAATTTCTTATATCATCTTTGTGGACTTCCTCATGACCCTCCTCACTGCACTGATTCCTGTCTATGCATTAGTTGGCTGTATGAAAATAATTGTGCAGGTATGTGAGGCCGAACAACAAACTCCAGCCATAATTAACTTTTTAGTTTTCATTTGAAAAAGTTGAAACAAACCCTTAAAAAAAAAACCACCCCGGGGTCAAAGGTTTTGTTTGTAACAGGCTGCCGGCTGCTGTCGTACCAGATATAAACCATGGCCTGACACATTGAGTTAAAACTTCAAACCCATGTCAGGATGCCTACCAACAATTCCCAACTGTACTGCACTATGACCTGCTACTTTGCATCTGCCGAAAATGACCTGCATGATAAAGTATTGACACAAATAGCATATGGTGACACCGCACTGCCATTATTCACTGGGAAAGTGGAGCCAAATCCGGATCGGCGCTGAGCATCGTTAATTCCCTTTGACTCCAAATTCTCAGGTGTTCAGCCTCTCTTTGGAATCGGCTCTGTGGTAGCGTTTTGTATCTGTGAGCACAAGTGTAACCCCTGTGCCAATGACTAATAGCCACTTCTAGTGGTGCGGGGCAGAAGAAACCGGGAGACAGAGGACAAGGAGGCAGCTGCAAGGGTGGTTTTCCAAAGGGTCCGTATGGATGTGGAGTATGAGCTTGAGGGCGAGGGACTGGAGGAAGAGGAAGAAAGAGAGCCAGAAATCTAGCACAGAGGAGAATGCAGAGGGGGAGGACTTAGAGAGGGGATAGTTAACTTTTACCTGGAGAAGAATGAGGCAGGAGGGGAAGTGAGTTTGGGGAAGGGTTGAAAAGAGCAGGAGAGGAAAAATCTAGTGGACTAGTGATGGCCCTTTGGAGATGATGCTGGACGAGGGCTGTGAGAAGAGGGTCACCATCAGAGGGGGCAGCTGGAGATGGAGAGAGGTAAAGGAACAGAGGACAATGACCATTCTGGAGAGCGTGGGAAGGGGGATGGGTTAGAGCAGAAGAGAATGGCAGAGCAATGGAGCTGAGGGCAGTCAATGGTGGGGATGAAGGGCATGGCTTGATGAAGTGTTGCCGGATGCAAGATAAAGAAGGCCAAGTAGAAGGCGGGATGCAGGTCGAGAAGGAGCAAGAAAAGGGAGGAGATGGACGTGGCCAGGAGAACATAAAGTTATTGGGCGGGAAACAAGAAGCAGGGGGGAGGGGGAATGACCTGATAATCTCTCACTGAGTTATAGGAGTGAGCCCAAGCCTGCCAAACCGGCCACATGCTGAGTATCTGGGCAGCCCCGTACACACTCTCTAAGCAGTGTGTTGAGCTTCCCTGTGTTTAAATCCAGAGGGATACGTTCAATCTAAATTTACATTCCAAGAATCTAGGTTTTGACTTTTATTCGGCACTGGAAAAGTTCCTGTTTCTAATCTCGTTGTCTTCTCCTCACACAGGTGTCATCAGAATATTCACTTCTCTCAGATGAGATCTATCCGATTCTGAGCAGAATCCACTTGCTAACTAGCCTAGCGGTAAGAACATGTTTCCACAATAGGAAGCATTTCTAAGAGGATGTGAAGTTTTCAAACACCCCCGTCCCCTCCCCCCCGGTTTCAACCCCCTTCTCTGGCTGAAGGGAATGTCATTCCACATGGCTCATGCTCCTCCCAGTGGTGAAGTCCAGCCACGTTCTCCCCCTGACACAGCAGGGAGGGGCAAAGCATTCCAGCGACCTGAGAGGGAGCTGCACAAGCATTATCTTCACCGCATTTTTTGTGCGTGCGTCTGAGTGCCCTTGTGCATCCGCCACTCACTAAAGGCTCTCCCCACACTCCTCTTCTGCGGCATAACAGCCATTCCCTTCCTTCTTCCCCACATCTCTGTTTCCTCCTTCTTGGTACCCTTTCCAGAACTGATTTCACCTCACGAGTGAGCACCAGCACCACTGAGCTCAAATCCCTCCTTGAATCTTGAATGCTGCCTGCAGAGGTGGTCGCCTCATCTCTAAAAAGATCTCTTGGCATTGGAAAAAGTTTGGAAAAGGGCAATAAACATGATGAGGGGTTTGGAACAGGTGCCATATGAGGAGAGATTAAAAAGACTGGAACTTTTCAGCTTAGAAAAGAGAAGATGGGGAGGGGGATATGATAGAGGTCTATAAAATCATGATGGGGATGGAGAAAGTGACTAAGGAAAAGTGATGTATTTGTTCCCATAACATAAGAACTAGGGTCACCAAAGGAAATTAATAGGTAGCAGGGTTAATATAAACAAAAGGAAGTACTTCAGGCAATGCACAGTCAACCCGTGGAACTCCTTGCTGGAGGATGTTGTGAAGGCCAGGACTTTAACAGGATTCAGAAAAGAGCTAGATAAATTCATGGAGAATGGGTCAATCAATGGCTATTAGCCAGGATGGGTAGGAATGGTGTCCGTAGCCTTTTTTTTGTCAGAAATTGGGAATGGGTGACAAAGGATGGATCAGTTAGTTGGTGATTCCCTGTTCTGTTCATTCCCTCTGTGGACACCTGGCATTGGCCACTGTCAGAAGACAGGATACTGAGCTAAATGGACATTTGGTCTGACCCAGCATGGCTGTTCTTATGTTCTCTCTCTGGCAAGATGGCCGAGTCAGTGTCTGAGCCAATAATACATCTGGGCTGTTCTTACTCTCAGCCTGCTAAGCCATGGGCATGGGCCTCTGTCTTTTTGTGCCCTCCATTTATCTTCACCTGAGATGCTAAAATCAGAAATTATATAACAGTATACGAGTAAATTCCCTGGCTCCACTGACATAAATCAGAATTTTGACGTCGATGCCAACAGATCCAGCCTTGTCACCCCTTGTCTTTTCCCCTTGTTTTCCAGCCATACGTGCACTGTCTCATTTTAATTTTCATTCTGAGATGTCTGGAGTGGAAATATGGAAGAAAAACTATGAGAAAAGATCCAGTGTTCAGGTCTGTGCCAAACCAAGTCTAAACACATTGAATTGAGTCTCAGGACTCAAGTGCTATGTATGGGGGAACTGCCTTTGTATCAACAACAACTCTGGGTTTGGTTTCTTTTCTCTGCAGAATTTCTCCAAAGAATGAGATCATCTGCCCAAACCCTGAAGAGTCTGAAGGAATAGACGAAGATGAAGATGTTGAAGCTGAAAGAATGAAAGTCAGGCATGTGTTGACTGGTCAGAACCAGGAAGAGGTAAAAAATGAATTGGGAGAACGTGTATCCAACATGGAATCACAGAAATGTAGGATAGGTAGGGACTCCAATAAGTCTTCTAGTGCAGCCCCCTGGACTCAAGGCAGGACTGTGAGATAACTAGACCATCCCTGACAGGTGTTTGACTAACCTGTTCTTAAAAATCTTCAATGACCGAAATTGCACAACCTCCCTAGGCAATGTATTCCAGTGCTTAACTCTAATACTTAGGACATTTTTCCTAATGTCCAACTGAAATGATGCTATCACAGTATTGAGGTAATGCCATTACATCTGCTTGCATTACCCTGCCAGTTTCTGTCTAGCCAGAGCTTTGATATCAGATAGGTGTCTAATCTCTAGGGTCCCTTCATCTCTCTATTAAGATAGCTAATAGTAACGAGGGCTCAAAAAAGATATACTGGCATTAGAAAAGGCTCAGAGAAGGGCAACTAAAATGATTAGGGGTTTGGAATGGGTACCATCTGAGGAGAGATTAAAGAGACTGGGACTTTTCAGCTTGGAAAAGAGAAGACTAAGGAGGGGATATGATAGAGGTCTATAAAATCATGAATGGTGTGAAGAAAGTGAATAAGGAAAAGTTGTTTACTTGTTCCCATAATATAATAACTAGGGGCCACCTAGTTCTTCTTCACACAGCGCATAGTCAATCTGTGGAACTCCTTGCCTGGGGAGATGGTGAAGGCTAGGACTATAACAGGGTTTAAAAGAGAACTAGATAATTTCATGGAGGTTAAGTCCAGCTATTAGCCAGTATGGGTAAGGAATGGTGTCCCTATCCTCTGTTTGTCAGATGGATGGCAGGAGAGAGATCGCTTGATCATTACCTGTTCGATTCACTCCCTCTGGGACACCTGGCATTGGCCACTATCGGCAGACAGGGTACTGGGCTGGATGGACCTTTGGTCTGACCCAGTACAGCCGTTCTTATGTTCTTATGGCTTTGTGATATGAACACCTGAAGCTTCCTCAGGCTTCACCCTAGAGCCATAGCAGAAGAAGCTGCTTAATCTTACGCAAGACTTTTTTATGCAAAGATACCTCCTGATCATGGAGAAAACACATGCTAAAGAGTTTCTCACCTATTGGCTATTTTTCTTCTGGCTGATGGTAGAAGAGAGTTTGGCTCCATCCTACTGCCAGATTGGAAGAGCAGGCCAGTCTGTGAATTATCAGTCTGGACACAGCTTTGTGCTTATAGCTGGCCCTGGAGGTGGGAACACACGTATCAGGCTCTTGGTGTCACAAGCAGAGCTAGTCAGGCGATGGGATACTTAGCAGGAAAAAAAATCCACTTTTTGTCAAACAATGATTTTCATCCAAAAGCCCCAAATTATGTCCTTTCCCGTTTGGAAAACAGAAACTTTTCAAGGAACTTGGACGCTTTCTGTGAACGTTTCCATTTATTTCAGAGCTCAACTTTGGCACTGAAAAGTTTAGATGCAACTTTCTCAGCCAGCTGTAGCCACCGAGGTGTCTAAAAAAGGGGCTCACTTCCCATGGGTGCGTGGGGGGAGGAGACTGCATTTGGCAGAATCATTTCAGCAGGTAATTTCCAAGTTCTAGCTATAAGTGAGGTCTATATGTGGTTCTAGCTATGCTTCTCAGGCAGCACTTAATAAATCCTCAAATCTATATAGATAACAGTTAATTGTTCATTTTAAAATGTCAGTAGAAGAGACGAGGGTTTGTTGATACCAAATAAATTCTAAAGAATGTGATTTGTATAATCTTTCATTAATTTCTGAGATTGAGCCATATTCTAGCTATAAGTGAGGTCTATATGTGGTTCTAGCTATGCTTCTCAGGCAGCACTTAATAAATCCTCAAATCTATATAGATAACAGTTAATTGTTCATTTTAAAATGTCAGTAGAAGAGACGAGGGTTTGTTGATACCAAATAAATTCTAAAGAATGTGATTTGTATAATCTTTCATTAATTTCTGAGATTGAGCCATATCAACAATGCCCATATTTTTTATCAAAGTGACGGTGATTTGCTTTTATTCCATAGAGACCAATCCTTAGTGTCCACAGACTACGCAAGGAATACAAAGACAAGAAGGCCAGCTCTGTTTTTAAGAAAAGGACAAAAATGGCCACAAGAAATGTCTCCTTTTGTGTTAAAAAAGGTCAGAACAAACACGCATATAATTAGAGGTTTTAAATACAATGTAATACATTTTTGTTTCATAGAATATTTAGAGCTTCTGAAAATTACTGGATTAACATCACTGGTGGGTGAAATCTTCTATTGATCACCAAGGTACCCAGTAGGCCAAATCAAATAAAGTTGGATAGGGGCTTGTTGCAAGTCTCCTCACTTTACCTGGCTAACTTTTCTCAAATCTAACCTATGGAATTAGCTGGGTGGGTTATCTCTGGCAATCCTCCATCTCCCTGTTAAGATTACCAATGTTTAGGTAAATTGGCGTACTTGGTTGTGTGATATAGAGACCTCCATACTGGAGGCCATATTGTGATTTCATTTATGTCAGTAAGTCTTTTAAATGTTGCAGACTTCTCCAGGCAGTGGACGCAAGTGTCACTGTGCCTGAAAAGTGATCATAATGCCAGTCAAATCCCTATCAGCTGAGTCCACGTGAGCCATTGAATATGTAACGCCTGATAGGGAACATCAGTCACTAGCAACCCATCTGGAATATAAATCGGGGAGTATTCCTGGCTCACTCGCTCTCATCTTTGGATCAGATTTGGGTACATATCATGGCTCACCATTTGGACCACCCACACACATGGCAAGCCATCACATGTCCGTTGCAGGAAACCTGAAAGCATTTGCTTGAAACATTAGTCCTGTAGAGAAAAAGAGCAGCAATTCTTTGCAAAAATGTCAGATTTCCTTGGTTCCTTTCCCTCTTATAGTAATACACAGTTGCTAGCAGTTCCAGTAAATGATACTCTTCTCTCCATTTTATTCTAGGCGAGATTTTAGGGCTACTTGGACCCAATGGGGCGGGGAAAAGCACAACTCTAAGGATGATCGTTGGAGACACGATCCCAACGGCTGGACAGGTAGGAGAAACCTGGAAAAAGGAGCATTGTCTCTTCTGAGTGCTAACTGAAGACGAGAAGCTCCAGCACTTCTATCCTGGTCCTATTGAAAGTAATAGGAGTAAATCTGTTGACTCCAGTAGGTTTGTCTGCACTCCATCTGGAAGCAAGCCTCGCAGCCCAGGTCCACAGACTTGTGCTCGCAGAACTCATGCAAGAGTACTAAAAGTAGTTTGGGGGGAGGGGAGGTTGCCAGAGATCCTAATATCCTATCTGAGCTGCAATATTGAAGTAACAGCTACACCAGGGCTACTCAATCCGGAGCCTGTGTGTGGGAGCCAAAACAAAAAAGTAGTTAATATAATGGTCTTCTGTTGAGATGCGTTTTAGTAGTTAAATTCCTGGACTGTCATTGCTCATTAAAAGTGCTGTCATATGGGTGGAAATCAGTAAATATTGCATTTTATTAATATCAGCAGAACTGACTTAAATGGGGCCTGTGTGTTGTGTAGTCTTGCCTTAATCTTTATATTCATGCCCATCAGTGTGAAAAAAGCTATTTGCAAATATTTGGACATTTCTCTCTTAGAATGTGTCTATACAGCAAAGTTATTTCAGAATAACAACCGTTATTCCGAAATAACTATGCGAGCGTCTACACAGCAATTCCGTTATTTCAAAATAATTTTAATGGCTTATTCCAACTTCTGTAAACCTCACCCTACAAAGAATAGCACTTATTCTGAAATAGCTATTTCAAAATAAGGCGTGTGTAGACACTCTACTTCTGCTATTTCGAAATAGCCCCTCACCAGGGCCATTCTAAGTTATTCCTTCTGGCGCTCTAAATCGAGATAGGCAAATCATGTAGATTTGCTGCCTTGGACCAATTTTGAGGCTTCCCTGTAGTGTAGACATGCTATTTCAAAATAGCTATTTCAGAATAACTATTCCGGTATTGCTTCCAAAATAACTGTACAGTGTAGACGTACCCTTAGAGTTCAAAATGTGCAATAAGCTACAATAAGTTTGAAATAACAACATCCATGTCATATAGCTTTTGCACAGAGGGGAAAGCATGACTTGGATTCGGGTGCAGCTCCCTGGTTGAGATGTGTTTGATCATTTTTGTTGGTCTTCTCTGAACTTTTTTTTTTTTTCATTTGTCCACATCCTGTACCTGACAATGTAATATAAGCCAACTGTGTGACACTGTCACCAAAGAAGCAAACATCTTTCTGGATATATTAGCAGGAGTGGTTGAAACCATTTCAGGAAAAATGTGGACAAATTGGAGAAGAGCAACAAAAATGATTAAACATCTCAAAAATATGACCTGTGAGGGAAGATTGAAACATGTGTGTGTGTTTAGTGAGGGGAGAAAAGACTGATCGGGGACATAATTTTCAAGTACAGGCAGTCCCCGGGTTACGTACAAGATAGGGACTGTAGGTTTGTTCTTAAGTTGAATTTGTATGTAAGTCGGAACTGGTACATATTGTAGGGGAAACTCTAGCCAAACGTTTCTCCAGAGCTCAGTTTTATTCTCCCACACCTCACTTCCCTCAGTCCTTTATTCTCAAGCTGAGGTGTCTGCTGAGAAAAGCCGCTCCGCGTTTCCCTGGTCTGCTGGGGGGGGGGGGCTAGCTTCGCGTCTCCCTGGTCTGCTGGGGGGAAGCAGCTAGTGCGGGGTTGCCTCACCCCATTTGTAAGTAGGGATCTGATGTAAGTCAGATCCATGTAACCTGGGGACTGCCTGTACATAAAAGGCTGCTACAAGAAGGAAGGAGAAAAATTGTTCTCCCGAACATCTGAGAATAGGACAAGAAGTAATGGGCTTAAATTGCAGGAAGGGAAGTCTAAGCGGGACATCAGGAAAAACTTCCTACTTGTCAGGGTGGTTAAACACTGGAATAAATTGCTTAGGGCAGTTGTATACTCTCCATCACTGGAGATTTTAAGTGCATGTTAGACAAACGCCTGGCAGGGATGATCTAGATAATATTAGCCCTGGCATTAGTGCAGGGGACTGGTCTATATGACCTCTTAAGATCTTTCATGCACATTCTGAATAATTCCTTTCTGTTAGTTCAACTCTCACCTTATAGCCCCATTGTTTTCACTCATTCCCCACAGCGCTACAAAAAGGAGAGGGTGTTTAACTCTTCTGCCTGTCTCCCTTTCCCTGTGGGGAGACCTGAAGGATTCCATGTTGAAGAAGAGAATTTTTAAAAGTCCGAAGAAGCACTTGTACCTTTGAGCCTCCAGTTACTGGTTGTTTGTGCAGGTGCTGATGCAGGGGACAGAGGCAGAAGACACAACTGACTTTTTAGGGTACTGCCCTCAGGAGAACCCCCTCTGGCCAAACCTGACTGTTCAGGAACATCTGGAGGTGTACGCTGCAGTGAAAGGGATGAGGAAAGAAGATGCTGCTGTTACTATCCAACGGTACAGAAATAAAATTATCCCAGCCTCAATGGGGGGAGCGAACTGTGTGTTGAATCTCCATTAGTGACTTCTGCACTCATGTTGTCTAAAGCTATTCCTGGTTCGGCTTCTTTATCACATTTGTGCCTCCATGAAAGGGAAGAAAATGTGGAGCTCTTTGCCCATTTGCTCAGGTTAAAAAAATGAGACATTCCCTCGGGCACAGAGGGCCTGTCTGAGACAGCTGGAGTTTGCCTGGTCACTTGTCTTCTGGTAGTGGGAATGGGAACTACTAGTGTGGAAAACGGCAAAGATATTTTGACTGATTACTTCCCAAAAACGGAGAGGTGTTGTACAGAATATCCAGGAAAAGAGGAAATTCAGAGGTTTTACAATTTTAATGTTTTGAAATTTCGTAGTGGCTAATTGGGAAGGTGGTGGGTGTTTTTTAAAACTAATATCAGCTTAATATAATTACCAAAGTTACTACTCTTGCTATTATCAGTACTATAGAAGGTTCCAGAAACCCCATGACTAGGACTTGTTAGGTCTGTGGGATACACACAGTGCATAGTTTAATTTCCAAGACACCCCAAGCCTCTGTGACAAACAGGACACAGGAGGAAGGATGGATTTTGGTTTGGAGCTAATTACATTTTAATAAATAATCACACTAAAAGTAAATCAGATTCCCTTGGTTATCAGCCAACTTCACGCAGGCATCATGGCAGGGGTGTCAAGCAGGGACTGGAAGGAGGACTAGCTTTTACTGGCTAGTTTGGGGGCAGGAGGTGGAAGTTACACAGGTACAGAACTTCGTAGGAAGACATGTGTAAGAAGTGCTGAGAGATCAGCATTGTTGCTGGAAAAGACTAGGCAGGAAGCAGGAGGATAGAATGATGCTTTGTGACATCATAAGGGTGGCTGTAGAAATGATTATGATGTAACATAAGCAGTGGAAGGCCAGGAAGGAGCAGCTCTCCCCTCAGGTGGCTCTGTCAGGAGATGTCTGACTGACAGGTTCATTTCACTTTTGCTCCCAACCCAGGATCGTGAATGCCCTGAAGCTTCAGGCACAT